GCAGTATGAAGAAAGCTGGCCCAGAGACCCTCACTGTAGAGACTTGCGGTCGTGTACCGAACAGTTTCTGAACCAAACTGTGATGGAGTGGGTCAGGATACTCTCAGCTGTGCGTCTGTAGAACTTCGTGGGGATCGGGACTAGCGTCTGAAAACGTCTTCCATCTTTTTCAGGCAACACTGATGATGTGGTGCTTTCCTCACGAGCATCCTCCCACCTATTACCAAGAGATCCTCAGAGATTTTACTACCTAGAAATGTGGTAATATAAAAAAAAAAAGTAATCTTCTTTCCTACAAAGATTTTACTAAGTAGACTACGTATAGGCAGCACGGTGGCGCAACTGGTGGCGCCTCTCAGCGAGCAGGTCCCTGGCTCAAATCCCGGTCCGGGGGCCTTTCTGGGTGGAGTTTGTTTGTTCTCCGTGCATGAGTGGGTTTTCTCCGGGTGCTCCGGTTTCCTCCCACAGACCAAAAACATGCATGTTAGGCTGATTGGTAACTCTAAATTGTCTCTAGGTGTGAGTGAGAGAGTGAATGGTTGTTTGTCTCTATGTGTCCCTGTGATGGACTGGAGACCCGTCCAGGGTGTCCCCCGCCCCTCGCACAGTGATTGCTGGACATGGGCACCAGTGACCCCCCGTGACCCAAAATGGAAAAAGCGGGTAAAAGATAATGGATGGATGGATGAATGGACTACGTATATGAAATTCAGCAGAGTTCAGTCAGGTCAGCTGGACTTTTTTTTTTTTTTTTCTGAGACGTTTTGTTCTTAATCCAAAGGTCTTCATCAGTCTGAGGAGCCACAACAAACTGAGTCCCACAAGCAGCACACTGACACAGTGGACCAACCAGTTTGGTGGTGATAAGATGGTTTCTGGAGTCCGTTCTCTCCCCTGTCGACTCCTCTGAGGCAGCCATGGCCAAAGTGGTTCAAAACATCAAAGTTCATGCTCAATAATCCTCTGCCTCAGAAGAGTTGTGGCTCCTTGGACTGATGAAGTCCTTTACATGAAGGACGAAACAACTCAATAAAAAAACAAACCGTCCAGAGGAGCTGACTGAACTTTGTAGGATTTTTTTTTACCTGTATGATTGAGCATGAACTTTGAAACTATATGAAATTGTTCATCTCAACCCACCGTTGACCTCTTTTGGAAATGCATAAAATGTAACACAAATTTGACTGCCCTCAGACTCCAGTATGAACAGTCCATGACCCTGAAGACATGATGTCATACATGTGTGCTTTGATTCTGAGGTTGTTGAGCAATCAGAACGGACTAAACTCTTATCTGACATGACTGTCATCATTTGATCTGGCCTCTTCCCGCCTACTCCGGTGCAGAATTGCACGTCTAGAATGGAACCGATGTTGACCTTACGTGTTAGACCTGTGTCATGCCTTGTTTTTGTTGCTTCAGAACAAACCAGGGCAGTGAGTTTTGTAGTTAAAACTGAATGTGAGTACTAAAATTCGCCTGTTGTTTCTGCAGGTACGCTGGAATTTTCTGATACCCACTCGGACATGTCCTATGTCTTCATCAACGACTCGTTGCAGACCAGCGTGCCTCAGCTGCAAGCCTGCATCGATGGAGACTTGCCATTCGCCAAGAGGCTCCTGGAGACGGGGTGTGACCCCAACATCCGGGACAACCGGGGCCGCACCGGCCTCCACCTAGCCGCCGCCCGCGGGAACGTGGACATATGTCGCCTCCTGCACAAGTTTGGGGCCGATCTGCTGGCTACAGATTATCAAGGAAATACGGCGTTACATTTGTGCGGTCATGTGGATACCATCCAGTTTCTGGTGTCCAACGGGTTGAAGATTGATATCTGGTAAGAACATTCAGATTATTGTGATTATTTGACGTTTTCATCATCTGTTAATTTGTGATTATCTGTCCAGAGTCAGCTTGAATCCTAGTCCACCTGGGTGTTTTGTTCTGTTGTCGTTCTGTATATAAAGTTTTGGCTTAATAGATTACAAAGGTGTAACAACAATTATGGACTAGTTTCTTTGGTTTAGGGAAAACTATGTATAGTTGAAGAGAACTGGATGTTTTGTCAAACACTTTGCAGAGAGCGGAGATCATAACATGCTGTGCTCGTTTAGAGCATTTAGAGAGTTTAGAACATTGCAAGAGTGTGGGAAGTGTTTATAAAGCCTTCACACACACAC